TGTTTACAGAAAAGGGAAGTGGTAAAATTATCTGAGAAAAATAGACTGTGGAAAAGTAAGTATCAATAGTATGGGATATATGGCTTTTGTAAGCAGAGAAGGAGACAGGGCTATCTGATAGGTTGAAACAGTAAGAGATTTTAGGCATCTACAATGCTGGATTGCAAAGCATTGGGGTTAAATTTATATCCTCTCCATCTCTTCCTCCCTGAACTAATCCCTACAATGGCTGACTTTTGACTGTGTGTGTGTGTGTGTGTGTGTGTGTGTGTGTGTGACTATTCAGGCATGTATCTTCTGAACAAAAGCCTTTTCCGAAAGTCTGTTTCTGTATTCTGGGACCCCCAGCCCTTTGCTTTCTTAGATGTCTTACTTACCCATGTCACAATACTGCATCAGTTCCAGAGAAAAGGAGAGAAACTTAGAGATCTTGATGCTTTGCTTGTATGACATTCTCCTTTCTGAAAACTCAATTTAGATCTTCTATTCAGCAGCACATATGGAGCCAAAGAATCTGTTTTCTGGTTCTGCACACCCATTCTCTTCTTCCATGTTCAATCAGACCTATTACATTCTCTCCTATGACTTTTCTATGTTCTCTCTTGGGATCCCAAGATTTGAATAATTATCATAATGGAGGTTTGGCTAGAGTGACTGATTTTGGCCATGAGTAAGCTGTTGGAACTACACCAGCTCTTCCTTCTAGGTCATCTACAGCGATGGGGTCAGATAGGAGTACTCAGCAGACCCAAATAAGCCTCTGTGGAAGCTTCCTGCTTGCCCAGGAGAACTGCGGTGCATGTAGTATTCAACTGCACTTGTGCTCATATAAGCCTTTTGACTTTGGGGATAATCAACTCCATGATACTCTTCTTTTTTACATACCTATATTTTATAGATTTTATTTATTTACTTGAGAGAGAGTGTGAGAGAGAGAGCATAAGCAGGGGGAGGGGCAGAGGGAGATCAAGAAGCAGACTCCCCAGTGAGCAGGGAGCACACACAGGGCTCGATCCCAGGACTCTGGGATCATGACCTGAGCCGAAGACAGATACTTAATCGACTGAGCCACCCAGGAGCCCCTCCATGGTACTATTCTTTTAAATAAAGTTGAGCCAATGAGTCTATACTTGGTGTTTTCAGTAACTGCAAGTTACAAGAGCAAATAGCAATTGCAGTAATTTTAGTTTTTACTTTTCAGTAGTAAAGTAAAGTAGTTTTTGAAATCAGCTGAAACAACAACTGACCTTGCAAAATCTGATTTACCCAACCACGCTTGGTACAAGCATGGGATCTACAGCCAAAGCTGAGTAAGTCTGTGAAGTATTAGCACAAAACCAATCTTCCCCACAAGTCATAATGAAAATAATAGTATGTGTTTTTTTAAAAAGGCTGCCAAACCTTTTCACATGTATGGTCTCATTTTATCCTTACAATGAAGATGGTTTAGGCCCCTAAGAGATGTAGGCAAGCTTAGCTAATTTACAATATCACCCTGCAGACTTCGTGAAGAGTCAGTCAAACGCATTAGGGAGCTTTCAGTGAGGTATCAGAAGCTAAGTTACCAATGATACACCATAAGCAGCATAATGCTTTTAGGACCCCAGAACTGCAAAGTCATTGTCTACAGAGATGGACTATGATCATTTTGCTGGTGCTCCCCAGTATGATTCTTTGTAATCAAAGATGTTGCCTAAATGCAGCTGTCCTCCATATCTTGCTTTAGCAAGAGGGACCAGCTTCCAGTCATCCCACTCATCTCAGGTGTGACACAGTCTGGCTGATGAATAGAGGCAGCCAAGCCAAAAGCTACTGCAAGCCCTCGCCAGAGCTTGCCAGGTCTAGCTACCCCCACGTATAGTGAGTATGTCAGTGGGGTGTCTGCCCCATTTTCCTTTGGTGAGAAGCTCGTGTTTCTATAGATAAATAAATAAATACCCAGAAAAATTCACTACTCTGTCAGAGGTTGCAGAAAAACGTGTTCTGTGTATCTGAGCACATTTTCTTTTCACCCTAGGAATGCTATCAAACAAACTGTGGTTCAATACTGGCATCCTGTGGCCAGAGAAATTCGTCAAATCTCTGAAAATCTCAGATCCTCAGGTTCTGAACATTCCTGGCTATCTGTACCAAGCAGCTTTTCACCATTTCCTGAAGGCTGTTCAGTCACCTCACACAGTCTGTGAAAGCACCTAAGGTAAGATGTATTGAGATCAACTATCATTTCAGAAGGCTAACCCGTTCATGTATATCAGGGTGGAAATAAATGATAATAGAAAGTCTAGAGAATGTTAGCCAACAACAACAACAACAAAAATCTGATATGAAGCTCTACAAGTTCACACTGAGCTTTTTCCTAACAAGGAGGCGGTTGGGAAAAGAGGCAAGGTGGTGGGCAGGACTCCGCTGTTTGTGTGTCTATGTATGAGAGTTTTGTTTTGGCCAAAGGCTAGGAAACTACTTGCTATTGCAGCAATAAATATCATGAATTTTCTTTATTTTACTACCAGAATGCTGCCTAAGAGGAAAATCAAACAAAATTATGGAGGACTGTTGTTTTTTGCTACTTACTTTCAAGGCGGTTATAAAGATAAAGGGTTACAAGGCCCGCAGTTTAAAGGCAGAATTGCCATGCTCCCTGGTAAGACTTAATGGCATTTATGAGATCCAAATAACCATCATGGGACTACCACATCACGGCTGCTTTCACAAATGGCTACACTAAATTTGGAATCCTTGGAGATGTTTGGAACATCATTAGAGGCAGAAAAACAACAAAAAACTTCAAAATCACATAACCATGGAAAACCATCAAAGAAGGATCAAGTGTGAAAACTGACAAAGAAATGGTGCAAAATATGTACATGGTAGCGAGGGGAAAGGATGTTTAGAGTTGGCTGCCTCCCAACTGCAGGAGTGCAATGCCTACTACGCAGAGAAGGCATGGAATCTGCTCTCTCAACATGCTCTGCCTCATCATCGTCCAACTCTAGGGCTACTAGCTCTCTCTTCCTCAATTCGCCTGCTTTCCCATGGCTCTTGGGGGTTTGAACCGTCGTCTCTAGCCAGGATCTGAGACAGACACAGACCTCGCAATGATGAACGCTAATCTGTCCCAAACATTGGTAATGAGGACAGCAATCCTAAGGGTAGTTTGCTTAACAAGATTCTTTTTTTTTTTCTTTTCAGGAAAGCCTCTATTTTTATTGCCTACAACAGAGAAAATGTAACTAAAAATATTCCGCAGAAAACTAGTGTGATCTAACAGGAAATAGAGATTAAATACCCTGCCAGACAATCAGTGTGCCCGTGTTAGCCTTAAGGAACCCAACTTTTAGAGTAATGCCTCTTCAGGGAGTAAGTGTTGCTGGCTAGAAAACAAAATTCAGATATAAATCGTAGCATAAGGTCTAAAGATACCAAATACCAATTAAAAGCTAATAAAGAGTAGTAGCAAAAGTCTATATTAAATGGCTGACTTCTAAATGAGTTTGTGTAGCACACTGGAGAGCCAATATGTATACATATTTCGGGGCTTTTTGTTTTTTAGTTTTAGTAACACTGACATTATTTATTAACAATTTTACCGGAAATATCAGAAATCTCCCTGAACTTCTTACTGGGCCTTTAAAAATTAATTATGGTTAAAGAAGTAAATTAAAATAAAGGACAAGAACAATAGCTGTTTTCTAAACTCACTAAACTCACCAAACTCACCAGCAAGAACATGGCTGTTCCTCTGGCTACACGTTTTTACTTTGCTCTTGTCCCCCAAGCACCTACTGGAGGGAAAGAGCATGGACTTTGAAGTCCAGCAGATGTGGGTTCAAATCCTAGCTCAATGGTTTAAAATCTGTACACTCAAAGAAAAGTCCTCTACCTGCCTGAATCCTGGTTTCCCACTGGGTATGGGAATAACAAACATTATCTCTCACAGGGAGCTTGTGGAAGATGGAATGAGATGATGTGTGAGGGGAAAGGCCTCACCCAGCTGAGCCCCTGACAGAGGGGTAGGTTCCCCACAGAGGCTGCTCCTAAGCACCCTTCCTACCTACTCATAGCCTATATTTCCTCTTTCCCCAACCTACCTGGTCACCAAGCCCTCTGGGTTTTTCCTCTTTAACAGCTCCCACTTTCTCTTAGACCCTGCCAGCATTGTCCATGTTCAGACCCTTCTTAATCCTTGTACGGGGTTAATGTGGTAACTACCAGTCTTGAGTCTCTTCAGCCTTGACCCTCTCTAATCCATCTTCACTATACCCAGGATGATTTTTATGAAATACAACACTACTTGAGTTTGAATTCTAGCTGGTCTACCTAATATCTGCATGACTTGAAACAAGTCACATGAATTCTTCCATGGTATAACTCAAAATCTGTAAAATAGGGATGAGAACTTTTCTTACCTCAGAAGATTGTTATACAGATTAAATAAGGTCGTATATGGGCTAACACACAGAAATCACACAATAAATATGAGTTGTTATTCTTCTCTTCATTGTTCTTGCTGTTCTTATGACCCTTCTGTGAATTGCCATGCCTATTAAATAGGGTTGTGTCATAATCATATTTAGGACCTTTGTGGGTCTCTATCTCACTCCCTATCAAATCTCATATCACTCAGCAAGTGGCATGTTATGATATAGAACCAATAAACTGAGTTCAACCCAGAATAAAAAATAATTAGGTTACTAAGGGATTCAGGAAAGCAATTAGGTCATTTATAGAACTGCTAATAAAATTCTATCTAAAAAAAAACTATTCTCTTAAGAAGTGATTAGAGCAGCCCAAGCTAAATATCCTGAAAGGATTGAGTGGCTGGACCCTAAACATCCTTCCTGCTTTTTCTTCTCCTGGTTCTAATTAAAATGCAATAACGTATTTAAACTAGCAATTGTCTTACTTATATTTTTAAACTTTAAGGGGTGTGGGTGTACAAATAGATGGGTTTTCCACAACATGGTCCCTCAAGAGGTCCTGAAATTGTGTAAAAGTCTTACCTGACATTCTTCTAAACCACTTGGGTTTCTTGTCCCATATGATAAAGAGATAGTATGCAGGAACCCCAGTCAGAGTAATGATGAAGCCAATCCCTGTACTAAATGGGTCCGAATACAGGGAAAGGGCAACCATGAAGAAACACGTGAAGGAAAACAATGCTGGGATGAACAGCGGCACCTGGAACACAGCACAGGAAAAAAAAAATCACTTCAAACAGTTCTAGAGACAGAAGATGGGTTCAAGAGGAACACATCAGTCATAGGATCGGATGATCCCCACTGGTCATGTGAGCAGGTGACCGGCACCATCCTACCTTTACCTTAACAGCAACTTTGATAGGGCGCAGAGAATGTAGCAAACACACTCCCTAAATTTTTTTTAAAAAAAAATCTTTGAATAGAATAAAACCTGAGGATAAATAAGTGTGTTTCATTAGAGATGTTTTGTTTGAATGGTTTGACTAGATAAGTACCATTATGATTTATGTTTTTGATTTTAAAAGGTTGGCTCTTTGATAATTATGATTAGAATCTGCTTTAATGTAGAGTCAAGAGCAACGGCTGCTTGTTACATGTTAAAGCCTTTCAGTGCATATTGATTTTCTGTTGGAGACTCACAATAAGAACTGACAGGAATAAAACAGACCAACTCCTATTCAACCGCTAATAAAGATGTTGCTAGCATTAGGCAATGGATGAAATTAGAAACAAATTCTGACAACATGACTGACAACATTATCTGTGTTATTTTTTAAAAGCAAATAAATAGTGAGGTTAAATCAATCCATGAACATTCACGGCTAAAGGAGATGAGAAATAGATTCGTCAGCCTCCCAAAAGGAAATGCTCAGTTATAGTAAACGGTATTCTCTTAAGTGGTACATTCATACATATACCTTCACTTTCCCCATGTGTCCACACTTTTATTCCTTCTAGAATATCTAATTTAAAAAAAGAGCAATGTCACAAGTGATAAGATTTAAGAATACTTAAAATGACTGTTTTGTAAAGCAGCATCCTTTGTAGAGTTTCAATTAGTGACAATTCCACGTATATCCGCCTCCCTCTTTCTCAGCATGGCTACCCACAATTACTCAGCATAAAGATACAAGTGTCCCACACTTTGAACACATCAGGTCATTAGACACATCCAAGAAATAGCAACATAACAAATACCTTATATATATATATATATATATATATATATATATATATATATATATATACCCCTTTTCAGAGATGTGACATACAAAGTTGGGTATATCACATAAAAGGCTTGATGAATTATTTTTCCAAGCTAACATAAATTCAACATGAAGGCACTACCTGCAAGAGTTAAACATTTTATTCCAGAGGATGCTGCCCCCCGCCCAAGCTCCTCCTCATCAAGTTATGACAAAGGGAGGACTAGGTATTAGAAGAAAGATTTATGTAAACCCATCAAGATTACTGAGGTTACCTTGAAAGGACGATGCATATCTGGGCGTTTGTATCGAAGATAAATCAGCCCAGCAACTGCCAGCCCAATAAAAAGCCACCTGGCAAAACTGAGGAAATTCAAAAGACTGTAGAGGTTCCCAGAGAAGAGCATTATCATCGTCAAAGGGTACTAGGGCGAAGGGGGAGAAAAACCTCGCTCAGTGAGTTAAAAGAGAGCACAGCTGATAACAAACAATAACATCACTATACATTATGATTACCTTTTTCATATGATTATTTATACTGATAAACGACCACAGTGATTAAAACCTATATTCAACTAACTTCTTATCTATATTCTGCTCTTACGCCCCATTACGCACCAGTAACAGCATGAGATCATCATCATTACCACTTAATCAGACGAATGTTATATGGAAATTTAGTTCTTAGTTGTTTTTTCATTTGAGAGAAGAGAACGTGTTTTCAAAGAGTAAAACACAGGATAGTCAATGACTTAAACTTAAAGACCCAGAGACTGAGATGGTTAGCAAATAACTAATACTAAAAATCAAAAGTGTACCCAATTAGAAAATTCGCAGAGCACTCTGTAAATGGTTTCTGACGAGCCCTTGGCTATGCACACACGTGAAACGCAACCACTTCGAGGTGACTCTGCCAACTCCTGAATGCAAAATATTGACCTTTCCTTCCTCCACACTTACTCTCCCCATGCGCTTGCCATGTGTGACCCTCAAGACCGCAGAAAAGAATGAAGCACAGAGATCAGCATAGCAAGTCTCTGCAGCTGCACACGCCAAGGACAGCACGACTGATAGCAGAGGCTTAAAATGAAAGCCCTCTCCACGGAATAATACATTCTGTTCCCACAAGTGAGTGGGATTCCGCACAGAGAGTACAGAGAGATTTCAAAGGAAACATTCTGAAACAAATTAAATGCATGAAACAAAATGTCCAATGTATTCTATGGTGCTCCTGACAGCAGATTCCATTTGACAAAAATGTTACAAAAATAGTAGGTAAAAATGAATATAACATTGCCAATGGGTATTATAAAGGACTTTTACACCTTATGCAGTTTTTTGTATCCCACGCCTCACAAACACTTTGCATTAAGAATTCTACAACTCAAATTTCGGTTTTGGTGCTTTTATTTCTTCCCTATAGAGTTAGTCTCAAATAGCTCACTTTTTATCACAGAATTACTGCACTGTCTAGGGCTTCATGTGATTTTTTTCTATTAGTTTTGTATGCATTTCATTATAAGGAGCCTACGATACTATAACGTACACCTAGGTGTTTCTGGACTGTGGCTTTTCACTCCACTTTCAGTTCGCAGATTTGGGACTTGTTGCTCTACATCCTTTTCTGTGGGGCTCTGTGTCAATGACAGAAGCCAAGGTAGTCATTTCCCTCAGAGCTCGCAAATTTCTACAAAGGTGAAAAAGAAGTGATGTGCTTATTGCCCCATAGCATCAAATATGCATCGGAAATACTGAACAAAGGGAAGCGATGGAAAATATCCTGCCTCCCAAACTCCACCAAGATACACATAGAGCCAATCCAGCAATGAATGAGAAAGTAAAGCCCTATCTAAAGTCTGCTTTGAAATCCTCTTTGCAGGTGCCTGGGTGGCTTAGTTGGTTAAGCAACTGCCTTCGGCTCAGGTCATGATCCTGGAGTCCCAGGATCGAGTCCTGCATCAGGCTCCCTGCTCAGTGGGGAGTCTGCTTCTCCCTTTCCCGCTCCCCTCCTCTTGTGCTCTCTCTCTCTCTCTCATTCTCTCTCTCAAATAAATAAATAAAATCTTAAAAAAAAAAAAAAAGAAATCATCTTTGCTAACTGGTTATTCAAACTTATATGTAGGTATACTTTTTAATATGCATTACCAAAACAATAACTGCTGGCAGAGGGGTGTGCTTGCGGACATGAATCATGGAGAGGAGTTCTGGAAGGTGACCCTCTCGAGACGCAACATAGAATAACCTGATGGGAGAAAAACGTGGCTGGCATTGACTGTACAATTGATCATTTCAAAGAGAAAAATCCAGAAATCTAAGAGAAAACTTGCATCTAATTCCATACCAAATGGTTTGGCATTTCTTAGGTGGATTTCTTCAGTTTCACTGTCCACGTAAGGCAGAGAATCATCAAGAGAAATCTGACTTCAAATTTTATAAAATCTGCCAATAATTTCTCTTATTCTTTGAGGAGACCCAATAGCAACATCCGGCTCAGCATGGCTCTCCCTACATAGGAATAGTTCTAGATTCCTAATATTGTATGTGTGGCCGTCCCATCCAATCCAGCCCGACATACACAGACATGCCCAGGTACGCACACACACAGACATGCCCATGTACACACATAACATTTATATTTTTCTGATTGGGTCTTAATCTTATGTTAAAATAAAAGGGGCTTTTATATCAAACAAAACAAAAGGGATACGGATGGTAGGGTGGTGATTTCTGGTGTCTCTTACTTTACTTTTTTTCTTGTTACCTTTAGAGAAACAAAAGATTTTATCACCAGAAATAAAATGCTGTTGTTAGACTCTATAGACATACTATTTAAAAAAGAAAAAAAAAAAGGCTCCATGCCCAGCTTCAGCGTAGGCTATGAATAGACAAGCAGTGCCCTCTAATGGGCAGAATGAGACATGCTGTTGATACTTGGACGAAGATTTCGATCTTAATGTCTCTTTAAAAACAACAGCTTTGGAGGCACTATTTCTTCTCTTTTTAAACCTACCCTTATCACATCCAATCTCAAAAACAGAAATGCATTTCTGGAAATGCTTGAACTCACTCACCTGGAGACAGCAAACACACCACCATTCATGGAGCCAAAGCAGGAGAGGGCAACAAAGATCGGAACTGCTAATGAGAAATTTCCCAGTAGCCGCTCAGAAAACGTCTAGTGAAAGACAGAACGAAGCAAATTAATGCTCTGCCAGAAAATGGAATAAAATGAAGCAATTTAGTCCAAACTCGCTCTATGACTTTGTTTTAGCCTGCTGATACGTGTATGTTTTATAATCTTTCTTTTTGGTTAGGGTCAGACTAACTTCTTAGACAATAATCAGAAGCAAGTACCATGGCATTGCTTGTTGCAAAACTATGGGCAAAGGTCTAAACAAGCACCTTCTCCCTACTTTCAAAAAGCAACGACCCATTTATTGAATTTTCATCAACCGTGATATCTATCATCTCTGATTCTGGTAGGTAGAAAAAGCTCAGTTCAGAAGTTCTCCTATTGGAAACAGAAAGCCTTCTGTAAAATGCCTTCTCTTTACCCTGGAAAGCCACATTTTGATAGCAAAGTACAAAGGTACACCGAGAAGTATCATGGATACTTGTTTCATAGACCAGTCCTCCTGTTATGACACAGAAGTACAGTGAGATATAATTGACGACTTAATCATTTATATCGCATATATGAGCAGTTCTGAAAATCTTTGCCCCAAATAATCACATTAGCTGAATGTCTGTTTATTGAGTCCTCCCTCCCTCTCAGGTATCTGCCAATTCCTTCTGTGGTTTCCTATCATAAGGCTAGAATACAAACACAACTCTGAGAAAATCCAGCCACAGAAAATACGAAAGATAAATGACAGAACTTCTGAAATTTCCTTTTATGCCATGGCACAGGCAAATTTCCATGAAGGATGTATTGAAAACACACACACACACACAAAACAACTATGTGGGGTTCCTTAGTTGTCCTTGATGCAGCTGGTGCTGTGTAATTAATGGACCACATTACGCTCAAAGAGTAAGTGGTGCCCTTTGTCTAGTAAGACGAGATAACTGACCTAACCTCAGTAAGCTCTGGACACTTGGTTGTCTGGGAGGACTTACAATAGCGGCAAAGTCTTTTTTTTTTAATACGGTGAACAAGTCCATACGTTCACGTGAAATGAGATAATTTGTTCCCTGTGGATGTTGCCTATATGAGGTAATAGCGACTATTTTAAAAGGAACTGACATCTAGTGAAGGGAAGTTACTTTTTCACCCTTCATTGTTATGAGGTCATGAGTAAATGCCCCCTTACCAGCTAAGTTTTTATACAAAATAAAAGTATGTGTCACAGAATAACAGGCCCATAGCCTGACCGTTGAGAGCAAAGATGATCCTGAAGTCAAATAAATTTTGGGAAACGCTGTAAAATTATGAGTATCCACTTCTTAGGGAGCTAAAATGCACATTAGCACCTTTAATATTCTGAGAAGCTCCATAGCAACAACATCTGTTTAACTTTGAATAACTCAGCATTTCTAAAAATTAGTAATATCCCATTACTGGTATTCAAAAGGATATACTAGAACAAACAACTATATATGGTCATCCCTTGGAAATTCTTAAGTGGTACTTTGGGAAAAAGATTTTAAGTTAGCATTTGAAAAGTTTACAAACAGGAAAGAGTACAGAATAAATTACAATTCACATACCAAAAAATACATGCATTTAAATTCAGTAACTGCCCACCTATCCTGAAAGTCACGTTGGAAGAATACTATCTTCTGTACAACATGCACACATGGAAATGTGTTTTCAAGCATGAATATGGGGAAATGTTTTACACGAAATGAACAGTGCAGAGAAACCATATAGGACTTTGGCTCTATCAGTTAAACGGAGTGTGCGAAGGTGTGTTCTAAAATTTTTAAGTGCTCATTATCATTCAGGTCAAGAAACGATTACTGAATTTCAAAACACTTTCTGCTGGAGGGAACTACTGTGAAATTGTATCAACTCATTAACCTAGATTCAGATTGGCCTTTTCTCAACTTGGACTCACCACCGCCACCGCATTTGACAGCAGCAGCTCCTCGGCACTAATGGTTGTAAAGTAGGCCACATTCGTTAGCACGTAGCCAACGGTGACGACAGCCATGGAGATACAAATGGCAAGGGGGACGGTTCTGAAAGGCACAAAGGAATTGCTTATTAGTCATCATTTGTTAGTCATTCTCTGAAAGCAAAGACCATACGACAACAGGCTAATTCAAACAAAGAATAAAATAGTATGTATGATAATTATAGGCTCTGTTGGGCATGTATATCTTATCAGGGTGAAGTACTACAGAGTCCTTTGTAATTTAATAAGGTCCGTGGGAGCAGAGACTTCATTTGTCTTGTCTCCTGCTCCACCCCCAGAACATGTGGGTCCATCCCATTCTTGGAATCCATAAATGCTACAGCAGTGTTTTTCACACTTGATCATGCATCACCTAGAAGGCTTGTTGAAACACGGTTCGCTGATCCCATCTCAGAGTTTCTGATTCAGTAGGCCTTGTACTGCTAACAAGTTCCTGGGCGATTGAGGGGACCACACTTTGAGAACCATGGGCCCATATTCTTTTCTAATACTAATTTACTGCCTCGACACCTTTCTAATACTAGGCCCCAGGAAGGTCTTTCACATTCAGCTTTTCCCCTTCAGTAGCTTCCCTTATCAGCAAATAAGTTGTACCCTTTTGGATGCATAAGAGCAAGATACATCTACCATTCTAAATGATAGTAAAGATAATTTTATATATAACACAAAAAGCACGGAAGTGCTCCCAATAATGACTTTGCACTGCCCTGCTGTGAGTTCAAAGGAAGCTCAAGATCGTGAGTATCTATTAAAGCAACAGTGCAGATAATCCCATGAAATTAGAGGTGACATGCTGAGAAGTACATATGACCGGACCGTGCTGACACTCTGTGGCATCCACAAGTACCCGGCACAAATGCAATGTTATGTCTTCATTTAATGCACTGGGAAAGCCAGGAGTTACTGACCCTAATAATTTGATTCCATGTTACCGATACACATTACTTGCTTAACATAATCACCTCTTCAGACTCTTTGCAGTTCAAGCAACTTAAACCTTCAGCTCCCTGCACAAAGGCTGATCGGTTTTTTAGCCACACAGCTTATCAGCCCTCATGGAGCCTTAACCCTGCTGGGTGCCACTAATGAAGACCTCAATATAATTTCTTCCAAGATGAAAATACAGTTCAGAGCTGGGAGAGGAAAAAAATTAAAAAAGGAGGCACAGCCTGCCTCACTCCCCAAGCTGGGTATGTTTAGCACACAAAGTCCCAGCTCATTATGCTGAACAGCACTATCCCCTGTTGAGAAGGGGCAAACCTGGCCAGTCAGCAACTGCCATGCATTATGCTGCTTGGAGCCTGACACTTCCCCTGATCCCCAAAGCCTTAAGCCTTGATGGGGAAACACACTGACCTCTAAATCCTGGCATCCTAATATAAAAGTAGCAGATGTTCCCCTTCCCCAGTGTGAAGAGGGTCCTGTGGAATTTTCTGTTAACACCATAACATGCATTGCTAGCTGTGATTGATAAATGCTAAATTTAAGCAGAGGAAATCACCGGGCCAATTAAATACAAAGGAGTGAGAGACATAAGGCATATTAAAGATGAATTCTGTTTCTCTGAAAGAAAGACGAGATGTAAATGCAAAGAGCTAAGATGTATTGCAAAATGCAAAAAAAACTAACAATTTTACTCTCATCCAGATATACTATATGGATACTAGAGGGAAAAATCAAAGGAGCTTAAAATACAAGACAAAAGTGAGAAAGGGTCCAACCTTGTTGCAATTCATAACATGCCCAGGAATTTCTCTCTAAGTAAATTAAGCCATGAGAATTGGAGGGGGTATGGCAAAAGAGCCACTATCTTCTGTCCTCAGGTTCCATTTCACTTTGACAAAGGGAAGGAGGAGAAGAGTTTGTGGCTGCCTTGGCTTAAACAGCAATCAATTACCGAGGAAAGCAGTTGACGTGTTCAGAAGGGCTTGGCACCATGTGGTTAACTCCTGGGTTTCAAGCATCAAGGCTTAAGAGCCACTGGGTGAGCTGATAAAAGCTATTAGGCCATGCCAGAGCAATCTTTCTGGAGGCTTTAGATGCAGAGGGCAGATAAGCACGGTTAGTAACTCAAGATTAAGGCAAATGGCACGTGATAATAAAATGAATTAAAGGGACTAGTAGACCACTGATATTTCAAAGCCTCTGTGTTATTGTGAGGTACCCTCCAATTCTAAGTGCAACAAAAGCATTGTCTTTAAGCTGAATAAAAATGACTCACACCTATGAGTTCTACTCTTTTTTGAATGTCCGTGCATGTCTACTATGATTAACAAAATACAAATGTACTGAAAAGAGTTACTTAATCCTTAAGACCTCTAGTCATTATACAAAGTCTTTTCAATTAAAGGCCATTAAGTATGTGAGAATCCAATAATTGTATTATCTGCACTTAGTTTTCAATCAAAAGGTCTTGGATAGTCTTCTTTTCCTCTGGGTTTACTTTAAATTGGTACCTATAACCTGTCTATGTCACACATGGATAAATATTTGCTTTCTTTGAAATTATTAAATGGAAGTCTCTGCAACATCTGCTTAAAAGCACTTCATTCCAAGGAATAGACCTCCCCAGGTATCCAAATGGTCCCAAAAGTAATGGCTGGTAGCTTATATTTGTATAATCTACAAAGCACTGACAAATACACTTTATCTTCAAATATGCACATGCCATTCCAAATCCTTTGTGGAATGAGAGAGAGTGTAAACGAATAACAAACAAAATTCACAACAACCAAATGAGGCAAGAGGTTGCTGAAATTGTCCCCACCATTTTCAAATAAGGGAACCAACGCTCGGAAAGTTAAGTGATGTGGCCAAGGTCACAAGAATAAGTGGGAGGGCTGAAACTTGAGCCTACATCTTCCAGATTCCACATTCACCATATATCCTGTCATGATACCATGGTTCCCTTGTGCCTGCTTTAACTCCATGGACAAGGTCCCTAGGATTCTTATGAGCTGACAAACATGTGTTTTATTTTGTATAAGTAATCCAAATACCCGAAGGCTGGATGTAACAATGTGACACGTTTTATACCAAGTGTATTTTCTCTGTGCACCAAACAGTCATCACAAATAAACTTGCAAATAATGCAGCATGGGATGCATTTTTCAATATGCTTTGCAACTGTATAATAAAACATCAGAAATGACCATTGTTTCCAATGTTTTATATTGGCTAGAAAGACTCTTGCTGCAAACACAGAATGAGTCAACCTCGCTTGATTCTCCAGAGATTTGAGGACACCTGAAGGTTACAGGGATTTCTGATTTTCAAACCATATGAGCCATTTATTCATCACTTGAATTTAGAATATTCCTAAAATTGTTTTATAACTTGATCCAAATTTTCCGAGATTTGTGTGAACCAAAGTAATTCCCACACAATCCCAAGTGTTGGATACACAATGGGGACCACAGAACTCATTGATCCTGGAGCATCTAAAGTTGTCTTTGAGCCAGGGGACTGGGCATGATGACAGTCAGTTATGTAAAGCCTGCTCTTTTATGTTCAAGAATTTTCTAAGGGAAGTAACTGATGCTTCACGCTTTCTATTTAAAAATCATTAATATTTTAACACATGTATGTGACATTCAGGAGAACGGAGCAGGGGAAGGAGGGCTTAAGAAGTGCAAGAAAATGGTAAACTTCTTAATATGTGAGATGCAAAAAAAAAAAAGTAAAACAACTTGCAAAATATTTTGCAATTCTATTAATAAACTAGGCACTATTTATTCTATATAATTGAAAATGTAACTGTGATTCATCTCAAGACATTTAAAATTATATTAAGTACCTCTTGATTCCAAGTTTTTATTTTAGAATCATCTTGTTTCACATTTTCTTTTTAATTACCCTGTAAAGACCTTGAAAGCTTTTCTATAGCCCTGACACAGAAATGACTCAAGCACCTCTTTTATTTCTCTCTTTTGTATCCACCGATCAATTAATTAATTAATTTTTGCTGAATCACTCTGTTTATACACTGCTGTTAATTTTAGCTCACTTCTCAAATTTCAGTCATGTGTTATAGACAAAAACATAAGTAATGGTATATCTTAAAGAAAATCAATCTATATTTTTCATTCACGTGATTTTTTTTTTCCATACATTTTTGCATACTTTCCCTGATTCTTGCTCACACCAAACGCTCTAGAGAGCCCTAGGCACAGAATCATCCTATCTGGCTATGTCATTTCTGACATTTCGAGCAGGGATTGAATTACAAATAAGTGTTTTTGACAGTTTTCCAGACTTGAAACAATTAGATTACAGATGGCTGGAATCACAGATTCCTTTATGCGTTTTCAGTGATTTTTGCCTCATTGTCATTTAGTGCTATCACTATATCTCTAGTTATCCATGGTGAGTGGGAATTGGGCTGCTAATAACATAAAAGAAATGTACTTGAGGAGACATAGCAAGTAGTTGAGGGAAATGTGGGGCTGTCACTAAAAGAAAAAAAAATGGAGCAAGAAGAAGAATCATGTTCAGTTCTGACTTAATGACAATTTCTGGGCCAAGGATGAACACAGAGATGTGACCAGCAGATTGTCACATAAAGGTACACAGTGATCCCACTGATTTCAGGCATTAAACACCCGCCCTCTGCTCCTCAGGATCACCGCAAGGCTATGGATGTTTCCCCTGAAACATTTTAAATTTCAATACCGCTGATGTCTAATCTAAATCTCACCATTCTCCATTGTCCACAGATGAAGAAGTCCATAAACAGAAAGAGAAGACAGAGAGACCTGTAGAGAGATGTAAGAAATGAACAGACACAGATTAAAAGACTGCAGGGCTGAAGGAGTTTCATGAGAAAATGTAAGGAGGGAAGTAGGTACGGCAACACCAAAGAGAACAAAGAACTAAGATGGAAACTTACAATTCAGAAACATAGGGTGAGCAGCAATCAGAAGCATTAGTATAAGCATTTAATCCCGAAAAATACTTATTTTTTATCCTATTAAAATAAATTCATCACTAAATAAAATTAAGCTTGAAAGTAAATTTTCATTTGCTTCAATTTTATTCAAAAAA